CTTCCGCTAGTACCATCATATCATCCGCGAAACTCAATAAATCTACCCTTCCCACTGTTTGCTTGTATATGTCATTAGTATATACTGAATATAAAATTGGACTAAGTACTGATCCTTGTGGGATACCTTTACTAGTGTATCCTGATGTGGAACATGACCCTGTTACATTATCCCTGATGATTACTTTCCTATTGGTAAATATTTTCCTAAGAAATTCTATAAAAGGTTGTGGAATATTAATCTTTGCGAGTTTATTCATTAATATTGGGATGCTTACATTATCGTATGCTGCCCTAACATCTAAAAATACTGCTACTACTTTTTTATTCTTTTGAAAGGCCTGGAATATTATAGTTTGCAAATATACTAAATTGTCCATGATTCCCCTACCCTTTCGAAACCCTGACTGCTTCTTACTTAATATTTGTTCTGATTCTAGTTTATGTTCAATCCTATTTTTTATTAAATTCTCTACGATTTTTAGGACACACGACTGTAGTGAAATGAATCTGTAACTATTTAATTGTTGTGGATCTTTAAGTGGTTTTAGGAAAGGACATATTATTTGAGTGTTCCATTCCTTTGGGAGTTCCTTACCAGCTAAAAACTCATTAAACACCTTAATTAAATTGACTTTAATACCGAAAGGTAGTCCCCTTATTAAAGAATATACTATAGCATCCGCACCCGGCATTGTATCCCTTTTTCTTGCATTTAGCACTACATTAAGCTCATTGACTGTGAATTTATCCCATCCCGTTTCTTTTGACATTATGGTGTCCATTTCTATTGGAATTTCCGGCGGGGTGACTATGTTTAAGAAGTTATCTAAATTACTCCTAATGAAATCAGTTTTTCCTTTGATGTTCTTGTTTCTTCCAAACCCTTTCACAACTTTCCACACATATGATAAGTTACTGTCTCTGTTGAGTGTAGAGCAAAATTCGATAAAACTTGCCTTTTTTTTTTGTTTAAATATTTTTTTGGTTTGTGCTACTTTATGTTTCATATTAATATAATTACTATTGTTACTGTCCCTCATATATGTTTGAATTGCTTCTTTTCTTTCCCCCAATATTTTCTCACAATCTCTATCCCACCATTTATTAATTGTCCTCTTTTTACTATTATTTTTTTTTGCTACAGGATTGTGCTGTTTTGTCGGAACTACAACGTCATAAGCCTGTTTGATTATACCCATAATATCCTCGTATTCCTTACTTTTAGTTTGAGAATCGATTTGTTGACACACTATAAAATATTCGTTCCAATTGATTTTTTTTGTATTATATTTTTTCCCCTGAATTTCATGATTATTAAAATTGTTGTATACGTTTTTTGTACTGATATTAAATTTCATCATAATAGGAAAATGGTCACTATCCCCTTTATCTAACGGATGTATATCCCATTCCCCCAGTAAACCTAACCTAGTGGTACAAAATGATATGTCTGTGACACTTTTATTTTGCCCTGGCAAGCTTATTCTTGTTGCTCTGCCATCATTTAAACAGTTAAATCCCGCGTCTAGTAAAGTATCTACCAACATATTACCGTTACTATCGTTGCGGTTATTACCAAAAATTAGATTTTTTGAATTGAAATCCCCTGCAAAAATTATATGATCAAATTTTACTGTTTCTTCGCTTAAGTCCCTCAAAAATTGTCTTTTTAACTTTGTATTTATAGGATTGTATATGTTAATAACTAGAATATTATTTATTGCAATCGCTTGAATAAGAACACCATATGGTTTATTCCTTAAGTTTAAATCATATGCTTTCGCATTAATATTATTTTTAACCAAAATTGCTATTCCATTGTGTCCCTCTGTAATATCTTTCCTATATATATTATATTCTTTAATGTTCCAAATCATGGAATTCTTTAAATATGTTTCTTGTAGCAAAATAACGTTTGGTTCCTCCCTGTTAATTAAATATTCAAGGTTTATATTGTTAGATCTTACACTTCTTATATTCCACTGTAAAATAATGAATTTTGACACTTGAGAAAAAAGAAACATATACAAACTTACTTAAACTACTTATGTTTATGCTTTACCATTCTTCCTCCTCCGTCATTATGACTGGGGATTCCGTAATGGTGTTTTTTTTCTCCAATTGAGAGTTGTTACTTAAATTTGGTTCAATATTATCGTTCGCATTTAGTGATGGGGAAATTCCCCTTTTTTGTAAGTTACCATTTATTGTTTGAGACATTGTTATCAAAGCATCTAAAGGTATACTTAAATCTGATAGATATTCATTCAAGTCTAATTCATTAATATCAATAACATTTATTTGACTAGGACTACTGTTACCTGTGTTTGATTTTGGTGAACTGTTTGTATTTATTGGCCTAATATTAACTATTGGTGACAATGGGTACAAGGGGGAACCCATGAGGCATTCCTTATGAGCCACACTATCGTATCCTGGACTATTCGGACATCTTCTTTTATTTTTGGTAACCTCTCTATAAGATTTTGTGGGCGTTATATTATTATGAATGGTCTTACTTCTCTGATTTACCGTGATTATTTCATTATCGGGATTTTTATTAGGCAGGGCTGGGAAGTTTCTTCTATTTCTGTCAATATCGGGATTGTCATTCACTTTATCAGTATTTTTTCTAGGTAGTTGTTTGGCGGCGTCAAAATATGATAAGTTTTGGAAGCTCATTATCTCATTTATTCTTCTTTGCCTTGTTAGTTCTTCACATTCTTCTATGTTTTTTAATTGTTCAGAAACTAGATGGTCTTTCCTACAATAAAGGCATATTTTATTATTATGTTCAGTACATTTATCTTTATTGTGATCCTCTTTTCCACATTTTTCACATCTTGCTTTGCTATTACATTGTTTGGCTGTATGGTTAAATCTATAACAGTTAAAGCAAAGAGTAATTGGTCTAATATAGGTGGCTACTGTTAGTCTGTTATTGTATATGGACACATACCTTGGGAAGTTTTTTCCTATAAAGGTGAATATATAGGATCCTGTTGGGATATATTTTATTTCTAGCGATTCTTTATCTTGTACTCTTCTATTTAAACGGCGAACTTCTGCTACTTTATACATTCCTCCTGATTCCTCATTGGCTCTATCTATCACCTCTTTTTCTATCATACTACTACCCACTCCTTTCACTACTCCCTTACAAGATACTAAGGTTGCTGGTATAAAGGTTTTATACCCCATTTTTACAATCTGGTCACTTTTCTTGAAATCATTGGCATCCTTTGGAAGTCGGAACGACACACAAACTCTATTTCTTCCTTTCTTTTCTATATTTTTAATACCTTTAATTCCTGAATTGTATAGAACTTTCCCAAATTCCACTGGATGCAAGTTACCCACGTTTTTGTCACTGTGCTCCACCATTACATTGAATGGACCAGAGTCGTAAATAGAGTATTCTAGGTTGTCTAAAAAGGTGTTTATCTTTTTCACTTCGTTTAGGTTATTTTGAGTTCCATTATGTATATTATTTTCATTACCGCCACCGCCCGGGTCGGGCGGCGGGTCCTCCACGTCCATGTGGTTTGATCGACTTTTAGGTTAGTTGGATATTTTCTACTATTTAAATTTAATGCTACTGCGAAATAACTATTCTAATCACTACTTGATTACCACTTCGCTATAATGTTTGATATATCTGTGCTCGATGACTGAAATTTTCACCAATTTGATTAGATTTATTCCTATGTCTTTACACGTCCTTATGCTTCGGAAGATCAACATGGAATCATATTTATGCTTAATAATTGACAGATTCAACTTTTAAATTAAATATTAAATTTCTTCTTTTCTATAAAATGAATCAATAGCGTATTTGGCCTTTGTTTTTAATAGACAACGGATAAGGATAATTGACAATACACACATGATTATGTTGTTTATATGTTTATCCAACAAGCTCGAAAACGATATTTCGGTACAAATCATGCTATGTATATATGTATGTATGTGTATCAGCAGTGTTTACCGATTATAAAGTTGACAAATGACATGTCACCACGAGGAAGCAAAGGCCTCTTTTCTGTCTGATTTGTATCATATTTCTGCTTCTTTTTATCTGTTATAAATTTGAGACTTAAATCCGTTAAAATGTCCTTAATTAAACCTATTTTTGAATATTAATATTTTTAAATAAAATTAACTAGTAAAACTATTAATAAAAACACATTTAAAACTCAAATATCTTAAAAGAACACAACCGGCCTCTTACACATTTCTTCAGTAACCATATATTTTGTTGACTGCAGAATTATATCTTATTAGGTATTAGGTTTAAAAAAGAATTACTAATACTAATTATAAAACGAGTATAAATACCTTTTTTTAATGATTTAACAAATTTAATGCTTAATCATAATACTAATACAAATACTAATACTAAGGGAGTATAAATAGACCCTTATGCTTAATAATTGACAGGTTCAACTTTTAAATTAAATATTAAATTTCTTCTTTTCTATAAAATGAATCAATGGAGTATTTGGCCTTTGTTTTTAATAGACAACGGATAAGGATAATTGACAACACACATGATTATTTTGTTTATTTGTTTGTTCCAACAAGCTCGAAAACGATAATATTTCGGTACAAATCATGATCTGTATACAATTTTTGTGTATCAGCAGTGTTTACCGATTATAAAGTTGACAAATGACATGTCACCATGAGGAAGCAAAGGCCTCTTTTCTGTCTAAATTCCAGTCAAACACCAGAACCACCTAGAACTTTAGAGACGTTGTAACCGAACTTCGATTTTAATTCAAGGACGACTTACCCAAGTCCGACTCACGTAAGTTCTGTTTATAAATACGGGCCTAAAATCGGACCTGAATTAAAAAAAAAAAAAAACGAAAAACCGTATATCCTAACATAAATTATAAAAAGTTGGTTAAAAAAGAAGATTAGTAATTTTTATAAAGTTAGGTTAATTTCACGAGATTATTGAGAAAAAAGAAGAAATAAGAAATGACACTGTCACTATAATTATGTATATGTCAATATGTCATTATTTCTTTAAATTGAACAAAAATAAATATATTACAATTATTTTCCTTTAATTTTTATCAAAATGTCTGCTGCAATGCTAACGGCAGAATGGTTCTTACTGGGAAGAGATGCATATTACAGGTTAGTAAAAACTAATAACTTCGTTATTGATAATTAAAATATATTTATTTTAGAAAATTTGAAATATATTCTATGTCATGGCATCAAGAAGTTAATATAGAGAATTATATAGCATCTTCGGCTTCTTACGGAGGCCCTATAGCCATTAGAAGAGATGACCAAAAGATTCTTAAAGTGCAGGGGTCTGGACAACCAATTATTTCCATTTTTTCTGGATCTGGCAAACAGATAGCTTCATTCAAGGTATATAATAAGTTTTAGTATAAAATAAATCTGCAAATTGGATGAAAAGCATATTTTTTTTATAGTGGAGTAGACGGCCCATTGTTCACATGGGCTGGACAAATGATGAAGAACTTCTTTGTATACAAGAAGATGGTATGGTAGTCAAACATGACATGTTTGGAAAGTATCTTCATACATTTAGCATAAGCCAAAAGGTTCAAGATTCCAAAGTTGTTGATGCTAAAATTTTTACCAGTCCTCAAAATTTCACTGGCATCGCTGTAATGACGTCTAATTTCAAAATATTTGTTGTTAATAACATCAATGATCCAAAAACAAGACAATTGTCTGAACTTCCAAGTAAGTAATTACGTTAGGTAAAGAAAATGTAGGTTAAATAGATGTGTTTAGTTAAATTAATTTATTCATTTTAATAAATGTTGATGCCTTAGTTTGCGAACCTTCTAAGTTCGATTATTTAATTATGAAAACCTTATTACTTCATTAGGAAGGGGTTACTATCTCTAATTCCTTACTAATTCCCCTTATATATTATAATTCCATATAAACTTTTAAAAAATGTCTGTAGTTTATTTGAAAATGCATGATAGCACAGTTTGTATGCCAAAGATCTATATACAGGATTGTTCAAAGCAGAAAAAAGTAAATATTGATACCTAGATTTTAGTATGACCACCCCAAAAAATCTTGAATACAATACATCATAAAATATAAATGAGCAAACCCTAAGTGATTAACCAATAATTCTATACCTCAGTTACAGGAACACGAAATTACTTTAATATAAAAAATAGTAAACTGTCAGTATTAAGTACCCACATTTATTTTTATAAAAATAGTATACTAGATATTAGGTTAGGACATTTCCTTAAAATGTAATAATGAATATACCTACAAAACCAAATTTATATGATATACAGAGTGATATACTAAAAAAAATATTTTCATATAAATTTGTTTGTTTGTATTTCGGGTACTAGCGTCATATAAACTTATTTTTTTTTTTTTTTTATTTTGGTGTCATCGGCGTCGACTACTACGGCCATTAGCCTCAATATATAAACTTATTATAATTAATATAAATATAGAGTTACATACCTAAATAAATAAGTAGTTTTCTCCTGATAAGGAGTCATCATCATCATCATCATCATCAGTTTCCTCACTTCCCACAGAAATAATAATTGGTTCTATTGTTTCCTCTATTAACATATCAAGTTTCCAGAATTTCTCTTCCTCTTCTATGACATGTCTCATAGCATTTTGCTAATTGTGTGTTGAAATTTTTGATAATGTGAGCCAAAATGACTAACCTATCGAATTTATGGTCTCAAAAGGGTTTATATGTTAAACAAAATATTCTCCCATTGGGAAAATTGTTTTAGGGCAATTTAAAAATGCTATAACTTTTGAACCGTTTGAGATGGAAACTTTATCCAGGCATATTCTTGTAGCGCATGGAATTCTCTAAAAAAATTCTTCGGAATTGATTTTTTTACTCCAAAATTCATATACTTACTGAAAGTTGATGAAAAACAACATGTTTAGTAAACATGTCTGTTTTTCATCACATCTACTTAGGGCCGGTATTTTCTGCCTCTGACTAAACACATGATTATAAAAGCATGTGGTTAATTTAACCGAATAATATAGCAATGATTAAGCATTATTGAATACTTGACTACGATTTTAGTATCTATAATTTGAGGTTTACTACAACATGTCTGTTTTCATCAACTTTCATAGCCTGTAAGTATATGAATTTTGGAGACAAAAAAATCAACTCCGTAGTATTTTTTTAGATTATTTCATGCCCTACAAGAATATCCCTGGATAGTTTCTATCTTAAACGGTTCAAAAATTATAGCATTATTAATGGAGGACAAATTTTTTTTGCATATTATTTAAATGGGAAATTTCAAATGGCCAACGACACCTTTTAAAATTGAGCTAAAAATTTTTCCCAATGGGAGACATTTTTTTCAACATTTAGACCCTTTTGAGACCATAAAATCGATAGGTTAATCATTTTGGCTCACCCTAATATGGAGTCGCATAATAGTTGATGATCATCTCGAAGTTTAAATGTTTTATTGCTTGGCTTGACATATACCTTCATTTGAGCCCAGATTGGTTCAATGGGGGGTTCACAGTGATAAGGTCATAATTACAATACTTTAACTTCATGTTCTTTTGCTATTTCATCTACACTTAAATTCTGGTGCCACTATTTCTTTGGTTATTAGCCAATCGAAGAGTTCTTGCTTTTTCATTTAGTGTTAGGTAACGGTTCCTTTACTATTGAATGGTAACTATTGCAGAATTGGTCGGTAATAAATCTATCATTTGACTGAAATATTCCTCAAAAGCATCAGCAGTCATTTCTTCACGGTAGTCTTTCGTAAAATTTGAAACAAATTCTAACAAGCTTCTATCAACAAATCCTTTATTTTCTCCAATATAAATGATAATTAAACGGCGACCTTTACCATTTGGAAATTTTAAGCCAGTAGACAAACCTTCTATAAATGACTGACGAGCATTTGTAACCTGTTTATCTCTTATTCATTTTCTAATTTTCCTTAAATGTTGCCTCCTCCAACAAATAATTTCGTTTTTCTCTATGAGCGCAGATTTTGTATCATTCTTCTCCCTGACGAAGTCTAATTCATGTAAAGTTTTCCACAATTTGTCTCTTTTTAACGTTTGGCAAAGTTTTGTTTCCATTAATGTCTACTAAAAGTTTATCTAAAGTAGGTATCTTTTTTTGTAAATAAAACAAATGCACTTTTCTTCGGATCAGTTGTTTCATGGGTTTTCTCCCAGTTGACGTTTTAGGTACTACTGTAATACTTCCATCCTTTCATTGCTTCAAAAGTCTATAAATGGTTGCTTCTCCAACTCTGGTCATATTTGAACACTTAGAAACTATACGCCGAACAGTACTATTGAAATGTTCATGTACAAGAACGTCATGTACATTTAACACTAAGTTTTGATATGCACGGTTAAATTGCACTTTAATTTCACAGAAGTATAATTAGACGTTTGTTTGTGCCATTTTTATTGCACAAATTAACTTGATCAATATTACTTTTTAACGCCTATTATTACAGAAGTAACAATTCTGCGTGTTACAATCACAGGATTATACAAACAGAAATGTAAATCTTAACTAAAATAATTTGCAATCTGCATAACACTTTCTTCCGATTAGAAATTTTATTCCTTTCTAAGAAAGTTGAGGGCTATTTAAATTGATCTTGAACTGTAAATATTTTATACCTGTAGATATTAGATACTTATTTTTGTTTATTAAAATGACTAGAAAATTTTAGACAAGAATTGTAATAAATTGGTATTTTTAAAAATTTCCGGAAGAAAACTAGATTTTATTTTGGAACAAATAATACTAAACTTTTTATTTTTGAAATTATCTGTCACTAATGTATGATGTTATATTGGGGTTTATCTCCTGGGTCATAAAAATATTACTATCATTTATTTTCAAATAAACTATAGTAATTCTACTTTTATCCCTAATTTTACCAATTGCTTACTAATTTACCAAAAAATCTATTAAGTAAATTAGGACAAAACATGGTGCAGAATAAATCAAGTATATTTATCTAGATCACCCATTCTTAACCTTCGGTCCGCCAAGCTTTTATGTGCGGCCCGAAACATTATTATTAGTAAACTGATTTTTCAAAAATCTGGATTTCTAAATTTTTAAATCTTGAGGGAAATGCACAAGGACATTCATCAATCGCTAGGCTAAATATCACGCTAATTTTTAAATGAACGTTTGGATTTATTTAGGTTTTGTGTTTTATTTATTACATGGGCAGTAACTGTAAAGTCATGTCCCCGCTAATTTTAAATGGATAACCTAAAAAAAGGACATGTTGTGGCCCATGTAATATAGCAAACATATGTATGTGGCCTGAAGGAAAAAAAGGTTGAGTCTGCTGATCTAGATCTAGACGTTTGAAGTAGGTATTAAAATAAAAATGCTTGTAAAAAAGCAATTTATTTTTACATCAAAAAAACTTATTAAAGACAATAAAGTACTGGTTATATTTATATTATAAAAAACACAATTTTTCTAGTTTATTATTGATAAAAATAAAAAATTGTTTTTTAAATGCTTTATATCGGCTCTTAATATTAAGATGGTCTGACCATTTTAATTGAAATGGACCCCCACCAATTAAATTGATAGGTTCATAAAATATAAAATCTTTATGAACGGTATATCAATGTCTTGTTATCGGGCCAAACAAATGTGTTGAACTCTGCTTTTAAAAACCATGATTGGTCATAGAAAACTGGGTAATAGAATTCTAAGTGTATCTCGAGTCTGACAGTTTTCGATACATTTTCTGATTTACATGGCATCATCTCATCTGGAAACTCTAAATCATCGGATTCATTGAGTTCCATCATATCTGAGTCGGTTCTTGTGTCTCTAGCTTTTTCCATGATTAGCTTCTGTTTAGTCCTTTTCATATTCAAGGTAGGCTGGGAATTTTTGTAAAGGTGCCTTTTTCGGTGTTTTGCTTACTTATCTGAAACCATAAATCAATATACAGATAAAACAATTTTCGCTTTAGTACAGGTGCGGAGTCGTATCTTTATATTATTTTTGTACCTGAGCTTTATTATTAGTAATTGCTTGGTAATGCATAATTATTACTAAGAAAATCAAATTATGGTAGATTTTCTACCAAATATTAAAAAAATAATATGAGTACGATCCTGTAAACAACCTTTAATCTGATCGAGTAGATGGTGGTTTTACGGTATTCGGGTGATTTAACATAACGTTGCCACATTAGGTATACCTTTATATTTTAGGTAGATTTTCCATCCGAATTCCGTGACGACTATACTGCCTATACATTTTTTTAATCGGTCGGTACTTACTCTACCATTAGACTGATTTAAAAGCCAGCAATACAATGGCTTTTTTATAATTGAAGATATTTTACCGACAATGAGTTTTATATAGGATGATTTTTCTAATACACTATGCACTTTTTTGGAAGTCTTTTAAACTTATACAACAAATTAAACATCTCGTTCAAAATTAAGTCCATAACTATATCGTCCTTATTAGTAATCATATTTATTTTTGCCACATCTTGGTCAATTTAATTTTCTTAGAGGTTTTCATCAACTTCAATGTCGTCTTCGCTGATGTCTTCGTTTTCGCCGAAGTCTTCGTTTTCGCCGAAGTCTTCGTTTTCGCCGAAGTCTTCGTTTTCGCCGAAGTCTTCGTTTTCGCCGAAGTCTTCGTTTTCACGTGAAACTTCGATATTTTGTTATCGTCTTAT